GAGAAAACAAACTGTGTGAAAATCCCTATGCAGCAATCAGCAAGGAGTACGGTCACTAAAAATCACACAGGAAATTTTTTGGCAGAACACGGGGTGGTGGTCTAGAACCTACAAGTCATAACAATTAAATCAATACATTACAACTTAAATAATGCATTTAAAAAAACATCAGAAACTTGAGTTTTGTTCTCAAATTGGAGTTCATTTCCCTTTTATACAATTCCTGGACATGCAATTACAGACTGCAATCCACTACTAATGGAATCTAGTAACTGACTGCCATCTAAATTAGAGACAGGGCTCACTAAATCCAAGTTCTGTGGATTGTGCTGCAAAGATCTGGACATCCATGAAACTTCTTCATAACCCTGAAACTGCTCAATGTAATTGTTGTGTGTAGTAGATTTGATACAGACATCCTCAAAATTCAGACAAGCAAGTTTATGATATCCGCCATACTATTTACAATCTACCAGATAGTTACTTCAAAAGGTCAACTGCTCTGTGGTGTCAGCATTATTTTTTATTTATTCATTCATGGGATGCGGGTGTCACTGGCCAGGCCAACATTTATTGCCCATCCCTAATTGTCCAGAGGGTAGTTAAGTGTCACATGTAGGTCAGACCACATAAGGACAGCAGTGTTTCCTTCCCAAAAGGGCATTAGTGAACCAGCTGCGTTTTTCCAACAATGGTTTTTAATGGTCACCATTAGACTTCTAATTCCAGATTTTTTTTTGAATTAAATTCCAGCAACTGCCATGGCAGGATTCAAACCAGAGTTCCCAGAACATTAGTAGGGTCTCTGCATTAATAGGTAACACTTTGAAGACCGAGGATGAAGTCCACCAGGATTCAAATATGTGTCAGCCTACAGCTCCAACATTTACTCAGCACCACTGCTGTAGTGGTTGTGATTACCCCTCATTTCTCCCTCCTTTCCATTTCCTGATACAGTGCTGCTTCTGAGATGTTACCTTCATCCTATAGTGAATACTGGAATAAAAAACCTATTCAATTCATCTGCCATCTCCTAAGTTTCCATTTTTAAGTCCCTGACCAATACTCAGTTAACGTTTTAAATACTTAAGTGAAAATCTTACCGTCTGCTTTCATATTTCCAGCTAGCTTTCTCTTTTTATACTCTAAGTTTACCCTCATTAATTGTTGTTAACACTTATATTCCGTCCAAACATCTAACCTCCCATTTGTCTTTGAGTGATTATCTGTTTAAATTCCATCTTGATGGAAAGCCCTTTAATCGTCACTCATCTCCAAAGTAAAACTAACTCACCAGAGCTGCAGATGCTGGAGAATCTGAGATAACAAGGTGTAGAGCTGGATGAACACAGCAGGCCAAGCAGCATCATAGTCATAGGAGCAGGAAGGCTGACGCTTCGGGCCTAGACCCATTTCTGATGAAGGGTCTAGGCCCGAAATGTCAGCCTTCCTGATCCTATGTTGCTGCTTGGCCTGCTGTGTTCATCCAGCTCTTCACCAGAGATGTACTTTCTTTTTGTAGGTGGCTAGAGAGTTGATGCCTACTTTGCACCAAATTTGCAAGCCACTCTCTCTCTTTTCAATTAGTTGTAAAACAAAGTCAGTCTATTTTTGCATGTTGTGAAAACGAAGTTTGGATCAGGCATGTTGTTAAAATGAAGCTCAACCAAATATGCCACTATTCACCTATGAAAAAGATATTTTCAAAGTTCAGTATCACCGGTAAAGCCAACGTTGATGAGGAGGTCCTGCATTGGATCAGCTGTACCAGATCAGCCTGCTACAGACTTCAGTTACAGTCTTAATAAAGACCTTCAAAAGTCTTAGTGGACAGAGAATTACAGTGAGACTCGGATGGTGCATTTAATAACAAATAAGAGAGCAAGAGAAATTCCTTCAGCAACGCATCTGCGACATACTCTAAATTCAATGGGAGAATCTCACACACACAAAATTGTGATCCTCTTGAAGCCAGCTCTACAAACATTCATGCAGAAATCAAATTCAGTGGTCCAATAGCCATAACCATTGTGCCTGCCAAAAAGCCAAAACTCTAGTGAAGAACAAAGAAAGCACTTAAAAAACATTCTAAAAAGGTTTCCTTGAAGTGCAGCGGCATTGACATTAATAACTGGGAGGAGCTTGTTACCAATCGTTTAAAATGGTAACAATATGTCCACCGAGTTGCATCATGCTTTGGGTTACATCTTAACAAGGTGGCATAGAAGGAAAGAAAAAAGGAAGCCAATCTAGCAATCCGGACCTCTATGATGATACTATGGCCTTAAGAAACGCATTTGTCCTGGTCATTTTATGAAGACAGGTTGAGACAGAGGTTATGAACGGTCTGTCCCAAGCCAATAAAGTAAATAGCTTAGGCCTTGGGTTTTTTTTTTTTAAGTTGGAACAATAGAAGCAGCGTGGAGGGGTGGGGTCAAGTTCCCATAAAACCAGGACTTTAGTTTAACTCTCTGTAGCTGAGTTGAGAAGCTGCTATACATCTCTCCTTGCTACAGCAAAACATTTCAGTTCTCGCTCTCTCTCACACAGAGTTTTCTCTATGTTCTTTCCTCGTGGACTAGAGAATTGCATGTTAGGCCATCTATTTTATAGAATTTGTCTTTGCCAAGGGTGTGTTTATGGGATGTTACTATCTTGGAACACCTAATCAGTGGCAGTTAACATATATATTATCTTGTTAAGTATTTCGATAGAGTTACAGTTAGGCTAATTTTTTAAATTCTCATTCTGTTTGTGCTTTAACTGGAGTGTAAGAATAAACTGTGTTTTGTCTCCAGCCTAATAGTTTGGCCAATTGAATTGCATCTGGAACACAAAGCCTTACACTAGCCTTTTAAAGTAAGGAAGACTGGGATCTAGGCTACTTTCTTAATACATTTTGAGAGGTTTGGTCTAGTCCATAACAGCTCCCTGAATTGTAGATCATCTTTTCTCATTTATCCATAGGTCAAGAAATTGACCTGCTCAGTCACCTGAAGAAACGCTTCTCAAACTTGTGACTGGGAACAGATGTCACCCTCAAAAAAGTCAATTTGGAGAGAGGTCTACAACAGAAAACTGAATGTGGGAAGCATTAGTTGTTTTAAAAAAGGAAGTGGGAACAAGCATCAACAGTTCATTAAGTATGTCTCTTAAACAGTATTCTTTACTTGTGGGCAAAGATATTGAGTGTTAAGTAGGGATTTTACTGCAGGGTGCATGGCAGCCACCAGCCAACCACATTCATGCATTTTTCCAGTGTGGTTTACCCTGTATTTAACCAACTCAAATGGTTATATCAGTTCTCACATACATGAGTGGGTAGCCAGCTGTTTTCAACACAAGAAATGTTTTCTACCTTGAAGAAAATGAGTGACAAATACAAAAAAAAAGGGACAGCAGAGAAAAGAGAAAGAAAGGAGGATGCAGAAGTAAAAGAGCAACAAAAGACAACAAGACTCCTGTGATTACGGGGCTAAAAACAAACCGTGGTCAACTACAGAACATCAAAAAAAATTGAATATTTTTAAAAATTATTTAATAGGCCCAAGTGCTAAAACTAGAAGTTCACTCAATGATTTTATAAAGCTACTTGCGCACATGGGCTGAATTAAAACATTTTCTGAAGCAGTCCTTTTTACCTTCAAGGCAGACTATTATTCTATTTCTGAAGTATCTTTCCAAAATTGAAACTTAAAGCAGTTAGCAATCACAGGAGAAACTTTCAAATTTTCTTTCAACAATAGTAGTTGTTACTAAACACTTGAGATGCTGATGAGCACAACAAGTCTTCAATGGTATGGCATATAGATATAGCCGAGTTAGCTTGACTTGATTCTCAACACTTCTGACTCCAAGTTAAAAAGTTAAGAGCTTCACCATCACATTAGCACTTGAACATAAAAATCTAACTGTGTAACAGAAGCATTAGATGTCAACCTAAAGTTCTAACAGCCTATTCCCTCCAACCCAAAGCCTTAAAACTTTTTCAACCTCGCAGAAATTCTATTCTTTTGACACAAGGCTTTTGGGCATCCGTTACTCCTTTTCTTTGACCCATTTATAGCAGTATATTCAGCCATATCGGTCCCCAAACCATTAAAACCACTCTTTTCAACCGAGCTGTTAGTTAGCCATTCCAATACTCTGTTATCTACGCCGGAGGCTCATCGTCAATGTCTGTCCGATTGTGACCTTTTCCTATGAGTGGCACTAATAAGTGCAAATTGCCGAGTGACTGTATCCATTTGCTGCAAGAGATATAGTGCTAAATCAAATAAACTTTATCCTTCCAGATCTCCTCTTGGTCGATACTCAATTAATCACTATAAAATATCTCTGCCAACAGCAAGACTTCGCACCATCAGTATTTGAGTGAGTTGTACAGTGCAAAATATGCCTCTACATGTATACAGTTCATGCGCAAAAGTTTCTTTTTTGAAGTTCTTTGAAAACACAAAAGCAACAATACACTTTGATGTTCCTTTATGCAAGTGGACAATGCTAGAAAGCCCATTCCCTAATTCTCACAAAAGACAGTGCTGGCGGTTTCCTTGATAGAGAGAACTGTTGGGCCATTTGGAAGGGAAGTTAAGAGTCAACTACGTTGCTGATGAATCTGAAGGCAGATTTAGACCAGACAAGGGAAAGGAAGCAGAGTTCCTTCCCTAAAAGAGCACTAGTGAACCAGATGGGATTTTTAGGACAACTTGTTAGTTGGATGGTCATGATTACTAGTCCAGTGAGAACTTTAAACTCCAGATTTATATAATTAAGCTAAATTCTCACAAGTCAAAGCCGGATTGAAACTTGTGCTTCCAAATCGTTGATCCAGGTATCTGAAATAGTAGGCCTGTAAGAAAACCACAACAATGCCATCGATGTGTGGCAGATCTTAGAAAATGCAATTTACTAATTATTAGAAGATGTCAAATTTTATTTCTACCGTACAATTTAAAGTATGGGAAGGTGATGATTTGAGTACATGTCAGGACTCTTACCCTTGATGTTGGCCTTCTCAAACTACGAAGGAGCTTCCCTCGCTTTGACTCATCTCCATCTGTCTCATACGTATTAGTTGTATTGTCTCCCTTAGGTAGTGACGAATCAGCTTCTGCTTTTTTCTGCGATGACAGAGACCCAAGTTCATCATCACTGCCAACACTGAAACTTGTTCGATAACTTGCAAACCTGCCTAATCTTTTGGATCGGTCTCTGTACAACAATGGTTTGCTCACAGAGGAAAGTTTTCTCTGGCGCTCCAAAGAGCTGATATCCATCTCACTGTCTGACCCATTACCACTTCCATTCGATTGTGATTTTGCAGAAATGGAATTCCGAATTGTAATAATTTTGCCCTGGGTGCTGTCATGTGGTACTGAATAGATATTTTCTTCATCCCCTCTTGGTCTCACCAAAGTGTCAATTGGTTCTGCATAATCAGAGGTGTATGATCCATCGTCAGAAGGTGCCCAACTTACAGTTGAAGGCTTTCTCGGCATTTCTTTGCTGGCTGGTTCTTTTCCCTCAGAAGAATCCATTTTCTTCATCAGTTTGTCAAAATGTACCATTGGCTTTGGTTTTACAGGAGGAGGTACTTTGTTATTTAGCCTCTCAAAAGAGCTGAGAGTGCTGTATAGAGAATAGTTGTCATTCCCTTCAAGGTCCATTAAGAGCTTAGGTTGCTCTTTTGCCAATAGAGGCCCAGAAGTTTCATCTTGAAGTGCAACGTAGGGTGGCGGGCCTTCAATATCCTCATCATAGTCAAAGCAGTTTGAATTATTGAGTGGTGAGCCTGGCCTGGGAGAAAAATTAAACACTTCTTCTGGGTTGCTGCATGCTTCTGCTGCATTGTCATACATGTGTGAAGCTTCAACGAAGATTTTCTTTTCAGTTGCATCTCTGAAAAATTTAGCAAAAATCTCAGCATTGTGCTGGAATGGCTGTCCACTAGATATTGCAGTAAACCTACCACTGATCTCATGAGCAATTTCCTGGCCTTCTTCAAGCTGGTCCCGTGAGACATCACTCTCTGACACCTCAGTTCCTTCAGTGATAGCTACTAGTTGAATGGGTATGATGTCTTGCACATCTGACAGAAACGCACGGAGCATCGCTAAAGAAGCCTTGCGCCTAGCTAAATAAAACACAATGTATCCATGGACTAACTGGTTTTTCCTTATGTTGAAAGAGGAATGATAAGAAAGAATTGATACTTCAACACTTTTGCGTACTGCTCCAATTGTTAATTCAAGCATTACAGAATTGCTGTTCCCAGGTTGCAATGAACTACAAAAATGAGGTTGAATGATGGAGAGGAGGACTTCATCCACATTAAATAAATCACCACACATCAAACACATGACTACTCGAAGTTCTGCATCAGTTAAGTCTTTAATGCTGGGGGATGCACTAACTAGATTCAAATTGCGTTTCATGGTATCCAACAAGCCTTTCAAAGCCTGATTGATTTGCAATTCACTAAAGTTTCGCCCAGAACCCACACTGTGAGAAGTTACATCAACAAAAAGGCATTGCAATTTATTGGCAAGTTGTTGGCCATGGTTCCTCAATGTTTGTAGTGTTTCTCCACCACTCTCCCTTTTGTTTGCTAAAACTAGAGTTAGAGGCAGCTGTGCTAAGTGATTGTCCCTTCGGTCTAACGTCGACTCTTTCAGTTTCTCTAAGCTCTCCTTTATGTAATACAGTGATTCTTTGGAGTTGTAGAGGCAAAGGCAACCATGAGGTTGAAAGGTCGATGTCTGAAAAGAATTAACCCGATGTTTCACATTTCCTTCTATTGGTCGTAACGATAATTCATACATTTTACCCTCAAGCACATACTTATCATCAGTACACAGGGCTCGAATCTCATTAGCCAGTTCATGTGCAAGCCCATCCTTGCCGAGAAGTACAAGGTTGAGTTTGTCAGCACTAGAGTGCGAATGAGAGTTCACAAGACTTCGATCAGAAAATCGGTAAAATCGGGCAGCCAACAACTGTTCAACTTTACTGTCCATACATTTCTGACTGTTCGGACAAGTCTCTTTTGTTGGATGGTATACAAAGTGAATGTGTTTCAAGACGAGGGCATCCCGTTCAGCTTGCAGCTTTTGAAGTGCCTTAAATCGTTGTTCTTCACCCAAAACATCCTGAATGAGACCCATTTTCTCCTTGCTGGGCTTTGCATCCAATTCCAATTCATAAAACAACTCAGAATACTCTAAAAGCAATTCCTGAAACTGATCCTTGGCTTTATCAATGATCTCACGTTGATGTCTACTGTAAATATCTTGGTATTCAGGCTCCTGGAGCCACTGATAAAATTCTTCATTCATAACAAAACTTCTAGCCTCTTCCCATGGTTTTCCAGGGGTTATGAAAGGAGATGATCCCAGATTTTCCTTGAAAGCTTTCCTCATCTCAGCTCTCTTTCTTTCATTCTTCAGTTTCTCCAAATGCTTTCTGAATTGATCTTCTGCACATTTTCCAGCCAGCAGGTCAAATGGAATTCGGTCGTCATCTACTTTGTCAATATGATCGGTTTTATCCCATGGTGTCTCATTAAGGACAATAAACCAGGTTGAGAAGTCCTGTTTGGTCTTCAATCTCTGCTGTGCTATGGGCCAGTTCAAGTTTTCGATCTCATTCAGATCTGGAAATAGGGCATCAAGAGCAAGCACAAGTCTGTTAAGGTACTTGTTCTTTAAGTGTTCAATGTGCTTGTCCTTGAGCATCAGGACATGCTGTGCAAACAGCTTTTTGGCCTTCAGAGTTCCTTCTAGATCCACATACTCCTGGAATTCAGGTTTCATTTGCATTTTCCTAGTGGCATTCATCCAACTTTCATTATGATGGGTGACACAGTGGCTAATGATAAATTCATACTTGTCTTTTCCATGAGCTATTAACTGACTTTGTTGTTTCAAAGCTTCATAGTATGGAGTTATTTTGGGCCTTGCCCTGCTTTTGTCAATTAGCTGTGCTAAAGTACTAAAGGCCAATTCCACATTGACATTCGATCGAGCTGATGTCTCCACTACTTGGAGGTTCTTTCTTGCCATGGCAAAGGAATGTGCCTCACGTATGTACCTTTCCACACCTTCGTCACATTTTGTCAGCACCACCACAATGGGCTTTTTTGTTTTTATTATTTGGTTATACAGGTTTGTGACAAACTTAAGTTGGTCCTCAAAATTCCTGTTCATACCCCGGCTGACATCTACACAAAGAAGGAAACCATCAATCAGTAGTTTACCTTCTGGCATCTGCTTCTGTTCAAAGTCTTGTTCCAGACCCAACTGGTCAGTGCAAATGTACATCAGCTTTTCAGCAGATGCCAATTTGGTAGCTGCAGCACGTTTAATATAGGGTTGTAGGGCAGTGCTCCTATGCGGTTGAAAAGTCTGATCATCAATGAATTCTGTTTGTTCCACCACATGAATTCGACATTCAACTCCTTCCTCCACCGTTCTACCAACCTCACCCCAATATAAAAAATGGTCATTGTTAACAACACGGCCCCCAAAGTCACTGGTGCTGAGGACAGAGGTGTGATCCAGATGAAATTCATCGGCTTTAGGGCGGACAAATCGATTGCAGAAACACGACTTCCCAACCCCACACTGGCCCTTCTCTTTCTCCGTTCCAGATAATCCCACGACACTGATGCTGTAGCTTGGGATCCGTACATCCTGTTTTTTTGCCATCATAATTATCCAATCATTCTGACAAGGTCAACAGCAGTACCACCATAGAACTCCTAGCAATCTGAAAAGGAGCAGAGTTATAAATTGTCACTTTTTGCAAAACAAGCTTCTGATCCCATGGTTTTGTGGTCCTCAGTATAATCCTTCCTGCCCTAGGAAGTTAAAAAACTCGGTCCCAGTAACTCCCTGTAAAAGAAAAACAAGAGAAGTCAATAAAAGCAAAATACTATAGATGCTAGAAATCTGAAACCAAAAAACAGAAGTGGAGAAACTCTAAGTCTGGCAGCATCTGTGAAGAGAGAAACAAAGTTCACATTTCAAATCAGTTGTGACATCTTCAGAGCTGAAAAAAAAATGGTTACAAGGAAGAGTAATTTGGACTTGAAACATTAACTGTTTCATTCGACAAATTCTGCCAGGCTTGCTGAATTTCTCCAGCACTGTTGTTGAAGAAACAGGTATGTAGGATTGGAAATTAAACTGCATTGGTGACAAGATGTATGCTTATTCATCTGAATTTCTTTTTGGAAATATTTTGTGTTTACAAACTTGTGTTGCTCTCTAAGGTGAAGTACTCACACCTATAGAGCTGTTATCAGTGATGTAAGTAATGCACGGTGATGAACTAATTCACAAGATTGAAGCGTAATGCTTACAGTGAATATTTCCAATAGGGTATTTAATCAATATTTTAAACAAGCAAAGACAATAACTACCATTTAATCTCAAAACAACTGCACAGCAACAAAACTCAAGTCAAGCAAGATAATTGGTCTCCAGAGATTATAGCAGTGACTTTATCTGTTGAGTAATGTTGCCATGCGATTAGCGGTAAGATATAGGCATGGAACCAACTGAAGCATGTCTCCCACTCACTTGTTATCACCAAAAAATCTCAAGAGTTATACAGCATGAAAACAAATCTTCAGTCCAACCAGTCCACACCAACCATGTTCCCAAACTAAACTAGTCCCACCTGCCTGTGCTTGGCTCATATTCCTCTAAACCTTTCGTATTCAGGTATCTTTCCAAATGTCTTTTAAATGTTGCAACCGTACACGCATTCACCACTTTCTCTAGCAGTTCATTCCACACACAAAACACTCTGTAATATTGACCCTCATGTCCTTATTAAATCTCTCTCCTCTCATCTTAAAAATATACCCCCTCGTCTTGAACTCCCTCACCCTAGGCAAAGGACCCTTGTCATTCACCTTATGTTTGCCCCTCATGATTTTATAAACCTCAATAAGGTCATCCTTCAGCCTACGACACTCCAGCCTCTCCCAATAACTCAAACCCTCCATTCCCAGCAACATTCTGGTAAATCTTTTCTGAACCCTCTCCAGCTCGATAATATCTTTCCTATAACAGGATGATCAGAACTGTACACAGTACTCCAGAAGAGGCCTCACCAACGTCCTGTACAGCCTTAACATGATGTCCCGACTCCTATACTCAAAGGTCTGAGCAATGAAGGCATGCGTGCCAAATGCCTTCTTAACCACCCTGTCTACCTGTGACGCAAATTTCAAAGAATTACGTACCTGAACCCCTAGGTCTCTTTGTTCTACAACACTACCCAGAGCCCTACCATTAATTGCACAAGTCCTGTCCTGTTTGTATTACCAAAATCCAATACATCACATTTATCAAAATTAAACTCCAACTGCCACTCCTCAGTCCACTGACCCAAATGATCAAGATCTCGAAATCTTAGATAACCTTCTTCACTGTCTACTATAGCACCAATTTTGTTGTCATCTGCAAACTTACTAACTATGCCTCCTGTATTCTCACCCAAATCATCTATACAAATTACAAACAGAAGTGAACCCAGCACCGATCCGAGGAACACTACTGGTCAAGGCCTCCAGTCTGATAAACCACTCTTCGCCATCAACCCGTCTCTTACCATAAAGCCAATTTTATATCCAATTGGCAAGCTTACCCTGAAGCCAATGTGATCTAACTTTACTATTAGTTTACCACATGGAACCTTGTCAAAGGCTTTACTAAAGTCCAGGTAAACAATGTCTACCACTCTGCCCGCAACCTTTTTGGTTACTTCATTAAAAAAACTCAAATCAAGTTTGAGAAGCACGATTTTGCTCTCAAAAAAAGATTTTTTTAATTCTTTCTTTTCCACCTCTCATGCCTAAGTTTGCTGCATGTCCCACATTCAAGTTTCAAATTTAGCATAGTTTTCCTTCACAATCAATGGCATTGCTATCACTAAATCCTCTACTATCAACATCCCAGGGATTATCATTGACCAGAGACTGAAGTGAACCTACCATTTAAATACCGTGCCTACAACAGTAGGTCAGAAGCTGAGAATTCTGCAGTAGCTAACTGTCCTCCCGAATCCTCAAAGCATGTCCACAATCTTCAAGGAATAAATCAGGAGCGGTACGGAATACTCCCTACTTGCCCAGACAAATGAACTTCTGTTTTGTTGAAGCTGCATCATCATTCAGGACAAATTAACCTGCATTGTTAGCACCCATTCACCACCACAGTGGCAGCAGTGTATTTGATCTACAAGGTGCACTGCAGCAACTCGCTAAGCCTCCTTCGAAAGCACCTTCTGTGACCTATACTACTAAGGAGGACAAGGGCACCAGATATATGGGAACATCACCACCTTCGAGTTCCCATCCAAGGCATACACTACCCCAGCTTGGAAATATACTGCTGCTGCTTCTTCACTGTCACTGTGGCAACAGTAGTGTTGCCAAGCCTAATGCACAAATCACAGTAAATTTCAGAATTTCCTGATCTGTTTGGTTTTATGACTCTTGGATTAAATCAGAAAAATAACAATATCTAAAACCTTCATTAAAAATTCAATAATTTCTTATTGCTGACTAAATTAAGTTTTGTGTTGATACAAACTGTTAGTTTTCTTTAAGCTATGACCAACGTTGCTTTGTTTCTGTTACATTTATACAGGCAAAGGGGTAAAATCCATAGTGCAGTGCAATTCAAAATCCATACTAACACTAAGGCTAAAAGGAGTAGGGAAAGTTAGGTAAGTTAAAATATGTTTAATGATAACTTCTGGCACTGTGGCAGTATCTACTACACATGTAATCCTTTCGGTGATTATATCATCACTGAGAACTTCAGCATGATGTCATGATCAATCAACACCTGTCAATGAAGTTTCAATTATTCCACAGTCAAGACATTCTTTTGTTACTTACCTCCTCCGCTCTGAATTCGCAGATGAGATTTTGTCTCAATACCACCAGTCATCCTCTACTCCTTCCAGTGAATTTTTTGCTGAGGAGAAAAAGAAAGAATACTTAGGGATAAAATGAGACAAGTTAGCTTGCTGTATCATTCAAAAAATAACTTTTAATGCACAGAACCAAGATTTTTGTAACATTAATTTCATGCAAAAGTTCAAAAGATTTCTGGGCATGATCTAAATCTTAAGATTTAAAATTGATTTTTTTTTTAAATTAAATCTCTTCCTCTTCCCAGGACCCTAAGAAACTCTGGAGTTGTGAACACAGTCCAGTCCATCACACAAGCTAACCTTCCTTTCACTGACTCCATCTATACTTCTCGCTGCCTCGGAAAGGCAGCCAACATGATCAATGACCACTTCAACCAGTCAAATCCTTCCCAATAGTTGAACTCTGTCAGTTCTGGTATCATCCTTGTCAATCATTTTTGCAACTTCTCCAAACCATTGTTACAAATACAGAGGAGAACATTTTAGGTTGAACCAAGCTTTGATTCAGGTTCAACAGAACCGATATCTTTGAATGGCATTTGTCTAGAAATGAATCCAGCTTTTTGCTAACCTAAATTATTCTTTGAATTAGTTATGCATCCATATCATTAGATACCCTTGCACAACTACCTCATTTAACCCCTTATTACCCATCTCCTACAGGAAGGATGCCACTAGGCTCCTCTATATACGACAAGCCCTGTTGAAAACATGTAGATAGGCAGTTCAGCTTACAGAATTTTGATTTGCTGCTATTGCTGTACACAAAAAAACAAACACGCAGACTAGTATCAATATTGTTTGCTACTTAAATCTATTAGTGAGCTACCACTTTGCCAAACACACACAACCAATGGATCGCAAAGCTCAGCAATCTTGCTACATTGAATCACGAACAATGATGGACAATTGTACAACTATATTGAGAAGGTAGTTCCATAGACATCCCATCCTCAATGACGGGAATCCAGCACAAATACCTCTACCAATGGGGGGAACAAAGACATCAAACGCATCGGAGCATGGATGCTCCAAACCACTCAGTTCCCTCACTTAAAACTAGATTTTCCTTCCTTCACTATTACTGGATCAAAATCCTAGAACACAGCGTAACTGTACCATATGGATTACAGCGTTTAAGGGGGCAGAACAAAAACCCTTCAAAGGTAATTAGGAATAGGAAACAAATGCTGGCCAGGCCACTTACATGCTATAAAATATTTTTTTAAATTCTCTGAACTTTTCCATTTTAAAGCATCGTGATCTTGGTTATCCATCAACACAAGATATTATTGAGTCCTATGGCTCAGGCAAGTGAAATTGCTGCCATGAAAATCTTATCAAATCAGCCCCAAATATCAAACAAAAATTTCTGTGACCAGACATGGCAAAATTTTAAACTCTGTACATTGAGGATCATGGCTCTGTTCTGTATGATAACTGCATCTGCAATGAGCATTTTCCTCTGTACTTTTGTTTTTAATTATTTCATGTGTTATAATCCATGTCAATGCTTACTGGACAAGTCAGATCTCAAATTGAAACCTGACCACAAATTTTATTTTTCTTTTCATTCATTAGGTCACTCATTTAAAATACTCACAACAGGCTGCCAATGTATTTTAACAAAACATTTCTCCATAAGAAAAACTATATTGAAGAACAATTGGAATGATTACATTGCAAATATCAAGAAGAAAAAAATCATCCCTTTTACCTTAAGGGCATTCAAACCTTTGAAGCATCACAACTATCCCATGCTTCTTGTTCAGCTGGCACA